TGATTTGAATATCTATTTGCAGAAAAAAAAAAAAAAATCTATCATGGAACTCCCTCATCTCAGTTATTCTAGAGTCAATTTCCTTCCACTAATATTATGTGTCCCATCCAATGTTGAATACCTCTGTGCTGCACACTCGTCCTCCCTTATGTTGATGATGTATTGAAAAGACTGCTATGAATGGTCAGTTGCAAGTCACTTGGTCCACCGTATGAGTTGTCATGCGGTTCATATTCTCCGTAAAAATATTGTCACGTGTGTGTGTGTGAAGAGCACCTAAGGGTGTTTTTACACATACTGCATCAAACCTAGTTCCACCACAAGTTTATACATCCACCATCAGTACTAATAGTGGGAAAAAGAGAGAACAAACTGGTGGGAAGCACAGAACAAACCATGATACTCCTCAAAATAAATGCCTCCCCCACAAAAATATATCTGAAACAAAAGAACATATTATCATGATAAAATAGATGGAAAAATAAATGGAGAAAAAAAAAAAACAGAGGGAATTAAGAAAAACATTCACCTGATCGATCCTCAAAGTCTGTCCAATTGACAACCCGAGCTCCATAAGAGTCAAGCGTGATCATGGATGTCGCACTGAGCTTCGTTTATAATTTCCACAAGGCCTCAACCATAACTTTTTGAGTGTAGAGAGCAAATGAGCAGTGAAAGAAAAGAGGAAGAGCCAGGAGAGAGGGAAGAACAGCAGAGGAGAGAGAGGAAGAAGCAAACTCTGTAAACGCTACACGGTGTATTTATAGACCAATAATATTGTAACGGCTATTTGGGTTGGGCCTGTTTTTTATGCGACTTGGGTTGGACCTGTTTTTCTGTTCATATCTGTTATTAGGTTCATTTGCTTTGACTATTTAACTGAATTTATCAAAAAAAATTCTCATCATTAATAATAAACTTATAAAAGCATTTTATCCATACACATATCTCTTAAATACATTTATGAAATTCTATTTATTGTGCCTACCTACGCTTCCCAGTTGAAATGTGTTTTTTATGAAAATATGTGCAATGATTGAAATTGGTAGATATCTAATTATATACCTTCTGCAATGAAAATATGTGTAATGGTGTAAAAAAAAAAAAAAAAAAAAAAAAAAAAAAAAAAAAAAATACATTAAAAAAAATTACATTGAACCTTCATTTAATGTAATCCCAATAACAAGACTCAACATTGGTTTGGCAGCAACCTAGAGCAAACTCTGGTGTATAAACAAGTGACTATGGAACAGAGCATGTGCCACGTGACGATTGATGCATTGAGTACATCGATTCATCGAATACTACCTATTTGTGCTGGAAAAATGATAATTGCACCAATTTGTCAAACCCGGCAAATACTAATATTGCAAAACAACAATCACTACTTACAGCCCATTAAATGCGTTAAAGTTTTGAAGACAACAGTAGCCTTCACGCTTTCCTCCCTTTCTGTCTCCATTCTCACTCTAATAAAATAGGGATGGCTCGAAACGATGCATCACAATTCAAATACGACATGAGATAATGGGGTTTGAATTGACCTAAAATTCAAATCCATTTATTTGGCATGAATAGTGTGAAAAAGGGTAAAGTATGAATAAACAAACACAACATTGAAAGATAAATAGATTGTTTATGCTAATATTAGTTCACATTTGGACATACAATGTACTAATTTTGCAACTTGAAACCAACTCAATTATGCTATAGACTTTCTAAAGTAAATTATATTGAATTGTTACTATTAATAAAATTATTATTTTAATAATAATATTAATTGAGTAGGTCATTGTCATACATTGCAGGTCAATTCCTTTCTAAATTTTGGTCCTTCAGAGAGCATATTCCTTTGTCTCGGTTGAAGCCAACCCAAAATTTATTTGTTATATTTTGGAGAATATTTTTCGAAATGCAAGTTAAACAAATCGTGATACATAATCTGTTAGAAAATGAATGGAGAATCGAATGTTTTTCATTCACACAATATGAAGCCTCATTAATGTCGTGTGAATGGGGAGCTTGCAATAGTCTCTTTTCAACCACTTAATGAAAATTGAAGGCTTTTTTTTTTTTTTTTTTCTCCCTCCAGTTGGGAAAAATTATATAACCTAAAGTTTCATGAAAAGCTTCTTGTTTATAATGCTTAATACAACCCGCTCAGCTTTCATAATGGCGGGAGTCATGCCACCATTATGAAAAGAGAATTTGCCCAAGAAACAGGACACTGCCCTTGTGAAACCATTAGTGGGGTACCCTACAAGTACTGTACTACATATATTCTTATGTGTGGTTGCAATTAGTGATATTAGGCATACTGACCAGTCTCTTTCCGATGCTGGACATTTAACGGTCCCCAATATTCTTAACCTAGGGGCTGCCTAAAACGTACGGTTGGATTTCACGTGCTCAAGGACCAAGAAGAAAATGACCCCCTCGTCCCCACAACACTACATCATTAGCAACTCCCCCTGTAGCTGAACATGAAACATCCGCAGACCTTAGGATTCCCACATTTTAAGATAGTAGTGTTTTTGTTTTTTTTAGTTTAGGCTTAGTTAGTTGATAAAATAATTTAAAATGAGGACCATTATTAAATGCAGAGGCAGAGCCAATTAAGGCCTAGAAGGGACACGTGCCCTCCTCACTTTGCTTCAAACTACTAAACATAGGTACATATTTTTGTTATATACATATACTTATATGGTAATTTTAAATAGTGTCCCACTCAAAATTTTAAATTCTTCTAATTTTCTTTTGAAAAAAAAAGAAGTTACATATATCCGTTCTTCAAGTATACAATATATTTTTTCTTTTTTAATTTTTGTTTCCTTTTAAAATTTTTTTTTTTCACTCATATATAATTATGTATTTTTTTTTTTTTAACTTATTTCTTTTTATCGATGATATTTTTTATAGTATTTATTTAGCATATTATTTTCTAACTATTTTTTTATTATTTGCCTTTTTATTTAAAAAAAATTATAATTCATATTTGTCATATTTATTAAATTTTTTTTTTTTCAACAAGTGTATTGTGCCTTCTTTGAAATAAAATTCTGACTTCGCCCCTGATTGAATGGGAAGATTGGCAAAAATGTTAGGTGTTAGTAGATTGTTAGGTGCAAAGACTTAAAATCAGACTCTCAAGAATAATAAGTTTTTTGTTACTTTGGTTACGAAAGCATTTTTTTATGTTAGAAATTAAAAAATAGAAAAAAAAACTAAAATAATATATTTTCAACTAACAGCAAGTTAATTTGTTCCTTAATTTCAGTTATATTTATAATTTCAGTGATGGAAGGTTGTACTGCAATTTCCTTGTGATGTAGTACCATTAATGAGAGACAAAAACTGTTTGTTATCATACTAGTTAACAAGACAACTGGGGTCATAGCTGGCAGTTTAATTATCTGATGCAGTGGCACCAAGTGACGTCGTTTCAACATTGCCTTGGCGGAGTAAGGTTTACAACTAACATCTAGAGATCTTAAAGTAGAGATTGAAAATCCAACGGCTCATATTTGTCGTCAGTTGCTGAAATCCAGCCCACTTGCCGTACGTGCCCCGTTGCTAGAGATACGCTGACCACTTCATTAGCTCACGAGATACGTACGCGGAAAGAGTACTTGGGGAGCCAGGATCAGGTGCGGTAACAGCGACCGAAACTATTGTGATCGCTCACACACGCGTGCACCATAACCTTAGCTTAGAGTTTGGATCTTCTAATCAAACGGATTCTATCATTCTATTATCTTGACGTGTGATCATTCAACACGTTTTGTAACACAGAGAATTACTACTCATACTAAAAAAATATGCCTATCCTCCTTTATGTATTTAATTACGTGAAAATTATAATATTTTGCACTAAGGTGGTGTGATTTTACGTTGAACAATTATTATACTATTAATTTATTATTGTTGAAAATTAGAGCTTAAAAAAAAAAAATCAATTTAATTCAATTTAATATCCTGTTCTTCTTTTAAGAAGTACAGTGAAATCAGCATGGGTGGTGTGTGTAATATATTAAGCTGTACCTTGAATTTTGTTGGACTAATTTCCAAGTTTGGACACATAATTCAGTGGTATAGTTATTTTTATTTTTTATTTTTCTCTAACTCGTGGATGAATTTTTTATACCACAAACACTCCTGGGACATGTCATAAGAGAGTGTCCTTCTCAAATGGTGGGGATGATAATGTCCTTCGATTTTTTTTTTTTGTTTTTTTTTAATCTTTGGGTTAAGATTTTCTTTTTACTTTAGAAATCAAATTAAGTGCTTACAATATATAAATAAAATAAAGTAAAAAAGGTGCATGTTTGGTTCTTATTTGTAAGGTTCATCAAAACAAATTTCTTAGTTTAGTTTTTGTTGAAAGTTTTTATCCGAAAAACAAATTCATTTTCAGAAAATCAGTTTCATTTTATAATTTTTTTTATCTTTCTAATTCGGAATGTGTATATATATATATGTGTATATATATATATAGTATATTCTCCATAAGTTCTTCAGCACAAAGTTGCTCCATTATAATATGTATGTCACTAAATTTGTCCTATATATATATATATATATATATATATTCCTAATGAAGTTGTTGATGAGAGATTATAATTAGATATATATATATATACCTGGAAGGAATTTATGACGGTACAAATACGATTGCCAAATACGGATACTATTTCGTATTTTTGTTGTCTTAGTTCTCAAGACTTGAAATTTGTATGGAACAAGAGTGGATGATGAATAAATATACCAACACACTGCAAGTTTGCAACAAGAAGTTCCCTGTGATATAATAGTCTTTTCACCGGGCAATTTAGCTCATTTCCAGTTGAGATTCTGAAAATACATTTTTCTTTAAACATTTAAATGACCCTAAAGCTTCGTTTAATTTCAAATCTACCCTTATATTAACAACCGCTAGTCGTAATCTGTAGTACCTCTAGACAATCCCGTAAAGTCAAAGTCTTCAATAAGACGAACGACGACCACACCTGACACACCCACTAAACCATAACTCGCGAAACACAAAATCAACTAGCAGAAATATTTCTCTACAAAAAATAATACCAGTACTAAAAAAATTCTCTCCTCTCTTTCGCTCTCTCATGTCTTTGTAATCTTCCCTCAGTCCATGGCGAAAGCCCGCGCTACGAGACGAACTCTGGACTCCTACACTGTTAAATCCATCAACAAAACCATCCGAGGTAAGCCTTTCCTTTCTTTTCCTCCACACTTTCTTGGAAAATTCCGTCATTTTTCCCGGGAAATTCTTCTAACCTCCGTCACCGCCTCCGCAGCCGGCGACTGCGTGTTGATGAGACCTTCCGATCCGGGAAAGCCGTCGTACGTGGCTAAACTGGAGAAGATCGAGTCGGACAGCAGAGGAGCCAACGTCAAGATCCACGTCCGGTGGTATTATCGGCCGGAGGAGTCGATCGGCGGCCGCCGGCAGTTCCACGGATCGAAGGAACTGTTTCTCTCCGACCACTACGACGTCCAGAGCGCCGATACTATCGAAGGCAAGTGCACGGTGCACAGCTTCAAGAGCTATACCAAGCTTGACGCTGTTGGCAACGACGATTTCTTCTGTCGTTTCGAGTATAATTCGTCCACCGGAGCGTTTAATCCTGATAGAGTCGCCGTGTATGTTGAAATCGGTAGATATATTTTCGGATAATTTGATCGTGGCTTCATTGATGTGAGGCCTCAATTGCGTCTTCAATGTGAAATTAGATTATGTTGTTGCTCAATTTTGTAGAGTATGGACAGACTTACCGATTTCTGTTCTGTTAGCTTGATCAATTTTGCTATTTTGACATAAATTGATATTTTTTTGGGGGTTTAGTTGCAAAAATAGGTTATTTATATCTTAAATGTGGATTTATTGTGAAACTAATTACAGTTTTCTTGTAAATCTTAGTGTGACTGTTTGTCACTACATAGGATTAAGGTGTTTCTTTTGCTTTGTGTCTTTGAAATCAACACTTGAAATCTCAGTATGTGAATTCGAGGTAGTCAAATTTAAATTTGATGTTTTAATTTGTGATGAATGTTTAGCTCTAATGCATTATGATTATGTTTTCTCTAATACATTTCTTAGTTTTGTTAGTTCTAACCTGAGTTTCGAGGGTGGAAAATGTTCGATTGTCTATAATTTTAAATGTCAGTATTGATTATGCTGGAATTTTGAGTATTTTGGTTTATCTTAACATGGCAGGTACTGTAAGTGTGAGATGCCTTACAACCCTGACGACTTAATGGTTCAATGCGAAGGCTGCACAGATTGGTAAGTTGGTTGCTTTTGAAGTTCATACTTACAGTCGTGCCCTTTTTCATTTGTTAACACATCTGATGGAAATAAATTTATCTGTCAACACAATTCAGAAATTCAGTCTTTTGGCCTGGAAATTTCAATTGTTTTAACATTTAAGCATGATTGTTCTTTCAAAAAGATTAAAGTCTAAGAAAATACTCACACTAGCCACATATGGCAATTTTAAGAAACATTAGCACTTGAAAGTTCTTGATAGAGATCATAAGTCATCTTATGTCAACCTGGAAATGCCGGCATAGTGTTTCTTTCTTTCACTCGAGCATAGGTTGTCTATTTTCTGGTATGATGTGTGGGATGATCATTAATACATTTCTTGAAAAGATCCTATAGTTTCTCATTGAAGGTTTGGCAATGGGCTTAGTTTTTCCGGATTCCAGGAGAAAGCCGAAGCCTGTTTCCGTAATAGATTTCCTTAATGCTAGACTCACAATTATAGCTTGTCGATCATCCGCATAAGCGTTCCCAATGCCCCCTTCCTCTTGTTAGGGTTGATTGTTTGGTTTGAGCTTGAGTGGTTGACTTGCTCTCCATGATCTAGCCTTCATAGAATTTCGGTGATGTTTGCCTTTCCTGAGAGACACATATATGCATCTTCCTTGGAAAATCAATTCTTATTTCTTTCTAGTGCATTGTTTTCCTATCATTTAAAGGTCTCGCATGCCTAAAATTAGCCCGCTTTGTTATATAACCTTCTAGTTCTGTTTTACAACAATTTTTGAAATTATACTGGTAAGTGTTGTCAACCAACAACTGCTGAGTATCATGTTAATTATTAAACTTATTCATCATATTGCAGTACTCATTGACTAGCTTCTAAGTATGGAATTTTTGCAGACGATATGCTGAGGTATTGTATGTATCTATATGGCAGGTCATATTTCGAATACGCAGTGTTTATGGAGGCTAATGATTGTTCCCAAAGTGGAGGAACAACGGATGTAAACTTAAACATATTTTAGTAGTTATAACTGAATTAGTATTTCAAAAAAGTTTGGTCTTTGAAAGCTTTCAACAATCAATATAAATTGCTAAACAAGTATTCTTTTAGCAACTGATTATAGGAGCAAGTTAGGGGGCATAAATAAAATTATGGCTTGAAGATATGGTCCTAGAGCAAATTACTTGCAGAATTGGAATTATTTAGCTGACCTCAAATAGGTGACTTGAGAATCGATGAGTCGAATTTGATCTTATGTTAGTGCAAACTAAATCGATACCATTGAAGATATGTATTTTATTTTTTTGTTAATGAGAAATTTTGTTAAGAAAAAAGAACAAAAATAGTGTGAAGTTTGACTGTTGCACCCTTGGCGATTTGAGCCGACTCAAAACGGGATGTGTGCATAGGTGATCGTAGGATCATTTTTGTTTTCTCTAGGCCAGCTTGTAATGAATTTACTGATGAAGCAGATAGTTTATTGGTCTAATTTCTCTGAATGCTCGATGTTTAAATTTAACACTAGCCATCCTGAAAGCCAAATGCCTGCTACTATAACTGGCTACCAGAAAGAGGCAAAGAGAAGAAAGAAAGGCATGTCTAACTAAAAGGATAGAGTTAGCCTAGTGCACAAGGCTCTCGCCATTACGGGGTTTGGCGACGGTCAGATGTACGTAGCCTTATCTCTACATGGAGAGAGGTTGTTTTCCGTTTCGAACCCATGACCACCAAGTCACAATGGAGTAACATTACTGTTGCGCAAAAGCCTGCCTGCCCTCAGAGGGCATGTCATCCTTGCAATTGATACCCACCCCCACCACCACACGCACACTAAAAAAAAGTGGAAAAACCTTAAAATAGAGAAACTGAATCAAAGCAGTTTTATATTAAATATTATTGTGTTTTTTGTTTGTCCTTAAACTTTTTGATACTATGCAAGGTAGGATTTACCAAGTATTTGATTCTACATGTTTAAAACCAATTATGAATAGTTCTAGTACAAGAACTATTGATACTATAAGTTTTCTTGTTAAATTTTTTAGCTTCAATTGAACAATGGGATTGTAAATTTAGTATTTACATTCTTGATTTCAGAAATTGCTTAAATTGTTTTGTTTTATTTTCTTTTTTGTGATCACAAATGAGAAATTATATGATAAAACAAGTGCCAAAGGAGCAGTACCCATGTACATGTGAAGTATACAAGACCCCAATCTCCATGCTTTTCCCAAAAAAAAAAGTAAAAAATCTCATATGTAAACAAAACACCAATTGAGATTTGGAATGGGAAAAATAAGAGAGAAGGCAAGAGCAAATTGAGGTAAATCTATATTTCAGAAGGCAGAAACAGCAACTGAGATTTCAACAACTGATCCTGCTTCTACTTGAGAGTCTGATTCTTGAAACTTGCCATAACTACAGTATGGCTAAGTTGTGGTGTATTTAAATCTTAGGATTGTGAAATTACTCTTAACTAAATTAGTAAGCACGATGAAACTGGAAGACCAAATTATCCATTCAATTTACAATGTGCTAGTGAAACCCAGTAATATCTTGGGTCTCAACTAAGTATTTGAAATGCCATATATCTGGAAAAATAGTGACACTGATAATTAAGGGAAGATATTTACAGGAACTATTGCTCACAGTGCACATTTCCTTCACGTTGAATTTTCACGTACCTTTTCATGTTTTGAGTAATTTCAGTTCCCTTAACATTTTTACCCTCCCAAATTAAGTACACCAATTTTTAAACTTGGAGGTTAGTTTTGGACTTTCAAGAGAGAAACATTTAATGCATGTTTACTTTATGGGACGAAGGGAGTAGTAACCAATTAATTATAATGCTAAGTTCTAACTTGTATCTATGTGTTTGTGTTTGTGTTCGTGATAGAAAATAACATGCACGTGTTTCACTTATTGCTTCAATATTTAAGTAGCAGAATGTTTGATTGTGAGAATCCTTATACCGTTGTTTGGTGCAATAGTTTGGGTTGTCAAGTGTGAGAATGCAGGTCTGCATCTAAGTCTTGTCATTTTGTGCAAATAATATCAAATGTTAGGTTTGTTTTTTTACCAGTACACCAATTCCAACACACTCAGACATAACGAGGCCCAATTCTTGATATGATTTCTTGTCTTTACCAGTGCGCCAATTCCAAAGGGAGGTCAGGGGTTCGAGCCTCCATGGAGGTATGTGTGTGTGAGTACCAACTAAGAAAAAAAAAAAAAAAAAAGATATTGCAATGTTAGCATGAAAAACAGATTAACAGAAGAAAAGGGAAGTGATCTTAAATATCAATGCTTTTGACAAAGTCATATTTTTAGTTTATATTTGAGTTGCATGCCTCAAGTAAAAAGCTCTTTCTGGCATTAGATTTGCACATCATATATATTTAAGCCCCCTCCAAGGTTGGGCCTTGAGGAGTTCCATTGGAGCCTAGTTTAGGAGTTAGCATTAAGGCATAAGCATCACATGATTTGCATTGGTTTATTTTGGAGAGTTGTTGCAGCAACAAAACCAAACATATCCTAACCATCAAAAATCCAAACACATTGTGAAATTTGAATTACAGATTTTAAATTGGTGCAATCTTCAAAAATGGTACTTTTGATTCAGGTTTCACCCCACATGTATAGACATGACCCCTGAGGATGCAAAAAAACTTGAGCACTTCTTCTGTCAAGTTTGTTCCCCTGAAGAGCAAAAGAAGTTGCAGAATTCTCATGCTGCTGCCAGAAACTCGGATACAAAGGTATTACCAATAAATAATATTTTCTATAGTGTTTTATGCTTGGATGTTTTGAACTAGAGCTGAATTGCATGTCCTCTGGTAAATGGAATCTTAATTTGATATGTTGATCTTTTTTTCATTCTTCTTCTTCTTTTTTGTTTTGTGCGTTATTTATTTATTTATTTTTATAGAATAGAGAGACATCATTATCTTGGTCATATGCCTTGCTTCTTATTCTGTTTAAGGATGAGTTGATTTCATTGACTCCATGATACATGAATAGAATGACTTCCTACAAGCATTACATTTATGCTTGACAGAGAGGTTTCACTCCAAGAACTAAGCGCGACTCTTTGTTGCATGGCTACTTCTTCACATCCATTGTGGAATGCACAGATATCAATGGGCTATTAACTCATTTCCAAAAACAATCAACTGAAGGGGAATAGTAACACTTTACAAGTCCAGGTATGCTTTATGGTAGTAGCCGCAATAAGAGTGTTGAGGTCGATGAGTGGCAATACAAGAAAATTTTTAAATCTTAGAAATGAATCCATATTCAAGAAGCTAGATGGGGCACCAACAAAAAACAAAAGTTGGGAAAGTCTTTTGGAATGGTTCATGTGCCTTGAAGATGATAAAGGCCTCTTATAGGGAGTGGTTTAATTTAAGTTGATTGTTTTATAGCGGATATAGGTAGGCAGAAGAGAATATGTGAGGTGCTAATAGAGGATGCATTCAGTTATGATAAGAGGCTTTCTTAAGTTGGGTCGAGTCTGTTTAAAAACCTCATTGCTCAATAGTAATAATAATTTCACCTCTCCCTCTTGGTAGGTAAAAGACACATACACCAACTATTGGCCTTATGGGAACTTAAAACCCACAGTCTCCCATGTGGGAGGAGGTGATTCTACAGTTTCTACTTGAGCCAAAGGCTCAGCGGTCTCTCTCTCTCTCTCTCTCTATATATATATATATATATATAAATATATACACACACACATTGTTGTTAAAGGCACGCCAGTCTCACGCCTAGGCATGCCTAGGCTCGAGGCTCAGGTTTAGCACCTGTTGTCATCACAGGCTCACTAATGTTTACTAGGTGTGCGCCTCGATTGCTCCTCGTCCTGTTTGCGAGGTGCGCCTCACTGATAGTTGTTTTAAAAAATACAATTGTTCTATTTCTTAAGCCAAAAAGGGTACTTTTGGCAACTTAATTAACAAAAAAGAAAGCTCAAGCATACGATAAATAGAACTTTTGTATAAAAGAATAAAAAAATAAGAAAGCCCAGGTGTCAAAGTGTTAACCGAACAACAATAGAATGAGATTGTGAGACGAAGACGAAGCCTTAGTTGCAGAGATGAATGACGAAGCCACATCAGTTCTTTTTTTTTTTCTCTTTTCCTATAGCCTCTCTTCTTATCTTTGTTTACATCTCTCTCTTCGTCTAGTTCTCCTCTCTTTGTCTTTTTTTTTTTTTTTTGGCTCTATTTTTTCTTCTTTTTTTTTTTTTCTTGTTAACATTTTTTTTTTTTTTTTTTTTTTTGTTGACATATTTATTTCTTTTTGTGCTTTGTTTTGCCAGTCAAAAAAACACATTTTACTTTGCCTTTCAAGAAAACAAATTTGTGCTATGTTTTATAATTGTTGGATGCTTGTATAGTTGATGGATTTACTTTTGTATATTTGATATTAATTTTTTAATATTGATATGACTTATGAGATATGAATGTTTTTATGGTAGTTTAAATTTTCAATTGTGCGCCTCACTTCACTCAGGCGCGCGCCTCGCCGTGCGCTTCGTGCTTAGGTTCCAAAGGATCTCTAGCGCCTTGGTGCACCTTGGGCCTTTAATAACACTGTATATATATATATATAGGGAGGCGCTATTCGCACTCCACTTTTCTACTTTTGCACTACAATCTTAAATGAAATGGCAATTATAAGCTAAACTTTACAAATAAATGATTATTAATTTTTAAATGGCACAACTATCCTTTCAAATTTTCTCTACTTATCTCTAATCTTTAATATTTTATGTCTCTTTTGGCAAGATAAAAAATAAAAAAAATTTTGAATAATATTTTGTTTCCAGAACCAAAAATAAATAAATAAAAAAATTATGTTATAAATTGTTTTTTTTGACCGGACCAAAAATAAAAAAGTAACCATTAAAATAATTATCTCGTTTATCCAGATAAAAAAAAAAAAATACCAAAAAAAGAGGATTAATATATATATATTGAATAAATTATCTTTTTTTATAATACCATAAAATATGTATTTCTATTGAATAAATTATTTCTTTGGATGGGACCATAAAAAATCACAAAAAATAATAAAAAAAATTACCTCTTTTGACACGACTGAAAAAAAAAAAATCAACTTTGTTGAATAAATTATTTGTTTTGATTGCACCGAAAAAAAGTCATGAATAAATTATCTCTTTTGACTATCAAAAATAAAATTATCAGTATGGAATAAATTATCTTCTGTGAGAGGACCTCCGAAAAACTAGTAAAGGGACTAAAGATGAATTGAAGAACCTTCTTGTCATTTTCTTTAAAAGAAAAAGATAAGGAACTAAAGATGGGAAAAAAAAAAATAGTAAAGGAACAAAAGATGGGGAAAAATAAATAAATAAATAAATAAATTGTATCAAGGGTAATTATGGCATTATAAAATAAGGCATAGCGCATTAATGAATTGAAGGACCTTCTTGTCATTTTCTTTAAAAGAAAAAGATAAATGTCGTGCAATTGGAGAAAAGTGGAGTGCGAATATCGGCTCCCTATATATATATATATATATAAAGGTGCTTATTTGAAGTTTGATAACTTGATCCAAATTTAGTGACAGTTTGGCTCAATAGATTAACAACATCATTGCTCTCTCTTTCTTGATGATTCTAAAATTCATGTTAGTTCTAAATAGGAGTTGAAGTGAAAGATTTGCCACCACTCTAGGAAAACCTAAATAACAAAAATTGATTCAAATAGTTATTTGGTTTTGAACTTGCCTAAGTTAATTAGAATAAATAGATTTCCTGTTCATATAATGTGGCTTATAGACAGTCTGTCCCTCTTTTAGTTTGATTCAAAAATTTTTTTTTTTTTCGGGCCTAATCATCATGCTGTGGATATGCATTGTGGGTGGGATGATGGAGCAGATTAAAATCACAAAGTAAAATTTTCTAAAATCCATGTTCTATTTTGTTACTAATGTTTCCATGTGAAGTAAAGACTTGGGCGGGATACTTTCAAGGCTTGCCTGCCTTTATTTTCATTCTTTTGTTAGTCACAGATGACTTTGCATCTCCTATTCTAAAGGATTTTTCAATATATGTCATATGCAGCTAAAGTAGTGTTGTCAGGTGCGAATAAAGAGGGTACAGGTGCAAATCTAGAAATATGAAAATGATGCACTGTAGTCTGTATATTAAGAGTACAATTCTACTGAGAAGTCGGTTGACATGGATGGTAGATTTTATGTATAAAATTTCTTACCTTCCTAGAGGAGTAAATGGTGGCTCTTCTGTTTGCAATTGTATTTTTAACTAGTTCATCTTTTCTAAATTTTTTCTACTGTATGAGTGAGTAACAATTTAAATCTTTCAAGGAATTCTACATCTACTGCAAATATCTGGGGTAGGGAATGTCGTGTGTCTGCTTATCTTGTGCATGCATCCAAACTGCAATGCCCCCGTAATTGTAATTGTTGGTCTCATGCATTTCTTATATGCATACAAATTTCTATAGCACTAATGTGTTAAATTTGTACCTATACTAGGAATACACTATTTCTTGTATCATTGTGTCGTCGTCGTCATCACTTGTACAACTACTTGGACTACTAATTATTTATGTGTGGTGGGATATTTCAGGTGGATACAAAACGCCGTCGGAGGTGATATACTAAAAAAAAAAAAAAAAAAAAAAAAATCAAAACAAAAAACCACAAGGTGAGGTAGATATTTACCGGAAGTTATGTCTTCAGAGTTCTGTAGGCTTCAAACCAACACAGAGGCAATGGTATCTGCTTCACAAGCAACAATATTTGTGAGCTGATGTGAGAGGGAAACTGGTTTGAGAACTCTTGTTATGTCCATATGGTGTGAGAGACAATAATCTTGTTTCCTTTTCAAAGTTCGAGGATGTGTTTGGTTGTCTGTAATTATGTAATGTAGATTTACCTTATTTTCTCATTTTCTGGCTTCTTTTTTAAATTATTAGAGTTTTATGTGTATCAATCATCCAAATACTTTTCAACCTATTTAACTGCAATAGATGAAAGGATTCCATTTCAAGTATTTTGTTACGATGGGTTTGTCTCAGTTGTGCTGCTGCCAAAGTAATAAACATTATGAACTTATTGTGGAAAGGAGTTTGTCTTTGGAATTTTGTTATGATGGATTTGTCTGTTTGAATCATAAGTTTGATCAAGATCGTCTGCAAAAAATGATTGATAAGAGTCAAGACAGGATAAATGTAAAACATAATTATTTTTGTAATAAATGATAAAATTTTACAGGAGATACAAATTTCACGAGCGGTAAAGTCCCAAACCCTCCCCGGCTAATATTCTTCTTGTTCCTTTTTAGTACTTGTCATGAGCTAAAACCATTGACCTGATAGCTTAAATTAGTTCTTCAAGGTAAAAAATTGCAAGTCATCATCAACATATGCTTTTATTCTCACAGTGGCACCATAATCATAACTTATGGCTTATTTTGATTGATAATGTTTGTTAACATATCACTGAATGTAGCTGTTAATAATAATGATAAACCTTTAATTGGAAGATAACACAATTAGCTTTTAAGGCCTCCAATATGCGTGACTGGACAAAGATTAGCCCATTAGGAAAATGATTAGTTCGACTATTAGACTAATCCGACTATTTTCTTTCGTCGTCATAATCATCACGATCGCCACTTATAGGACTACCAATGGTACCAGCGTCACAAGCAACAATATTTGTGAACTTATGTCACAGGGAAACTGGTTTAAGAACTCTTGCTGGGTCCATATGGTGTGTAGAATCTTGTGAATTTGTCTCAGTTCAATTAGATGCTACAAAAGTAATGAACATGCATAATATTCAACCTACCACACAAAGCCTCGCAAACAAGCAACTATGTGAAGCAAATGGTCAGTTTATAACAAATACCCAACTCGTCAACGATTGAGTTTCAACTGAAGTTAATATAAAAACAGGCACTACGAGCGCGCCTATTGAACAGCTGAACTGATATAAAAATGCTATTGCAATTAAAGCAAAACCAAAAGGCTCAAGGAAGAGAAGTCTGAAATCTTTATTTACTTAAAATTAGGTATATTTATTCCCAATTCCATATCAAAAAGGAACTTTATATCATTTAGATTGGGAGCTTGTAGAATCGTCAACTGGATGCCAATATCGGTTGAAAAACCACAAGGAATCAGCTTCTACAGCATATCCATCTTGATTGCGATGCCAACTATAGTAAGAATGAGTTCGGTTTTTAATATCAAAAATGGCATGACCGAAACTGGCCTCACGGAAAGCTGAGTATTTTGGTTGTGGTTCCGTCATGCTGCACAGTATAACGCGTTTGATTTACTTGTGTCAAACAACAGGAACTAATTGTTTCAAAGAAAGGCCAAAACTATAATACAAGTTAATCTTACTCGGTTGCCAAGCCTTCAACATTTTCCACCATCACCAATGGTAATGTACATGGGGGCAGATTGATTACTTACAGGAGTACAAATGCCATTTACAGCGTTGTAAGCGATGTTGGATACACGTTCCTGTGACATACTTACATTAGTAAGCATAGATAGCACTATAATATCAACTTGTGCTTTGAAGCATAATAAACAGAAGCAAAAGTGTACTTACCGATCGTTCATATGCGTGAACATGACCGGCAAACACAATATCTACTTTGTATTTTACAAACCATCGCTCATACATAACTCTCATGGTTTCCCCTTCCATGAAATGATAGTTGTAGCTGTTGTACCATGGGGAATGCATTAAAACGATCACAGGTATTCATGACAATGAAATATTGCAAATGCCTGTAGACTTACTGTACGCCGAATAAGAAGACAAGACAATTATGTATGCTGAAGCCCTCTTGATTGAGTACCAAAAGGGAGCGGTGCTGTTTGATGATTTATAAGGTACATGATACCTGTGAGTATAGGGCTTGAAGGGTTCAGTGTCACCCTGCAACAAAATCACCTCTATTCTGTCACAACTTCATTTTTTTTTAGAAACATTCCAACACTTGGCAAATAAACATACAAGGTTTGAATTATAAATTGCAAAGCACAATCTTGGTAGTAAGTAGTAATTCCAGAGTCAATATTTCACCCCATAAAAATATTAGAACTTAGTTAATTTCCAAAGCATTGACCACTTACACTCCCTTTGCAAAGGAGGAGTACAATTTTGTAATCAGGAGCTTGGAAATTGCCACAGCAACCAAGAGGATCATGATTGTACAATAAAAGCACATGGTGAACAAAATTTGCCAAAGTTAGGAAGTAAATTACTTAGTAAATTGATTGGGGGATTAGACTTGGTAATACACGTAAGAACTTCTAAGGCGCTACAATTTACTTCGTGAGGGAAGATTCAATTGTATTACTCCCATCAGAAGTTAAGAAGAACCATGAAATCACACTTTAAAAACAGTGAGAAATAAGAAATATTGGAATATTACTTTTCATCAGACCAATAAAACATGTCAAGGGAAGCTTACAATTTCAGGGGCAAAATCAAGCTCATGATTTCCTGCAGTCCATATCCAAGGTTGATATGCAGCACTTCTCTCCACAAACTGTCCCCATGTATCCCACCTAACATTATCGTGATTCGTATAGTTATCTGCGTAAGAGAGGTCTCCGACAAACAGCACCGTTTTCCCTTTAGTTGGATTTAGTTCATAATGAGTAAGTGTCTTGTTTGAATCATAACTTTGACCAAGATCCCCTGCAAAAAATGATTGATAGAATCAGGACAGGATAAATGTAAAAACATAAAACACAAAATGGCACAGATTCTTATAGGAACAAGAGTAACGAATGTGTGCATTTCTTATTTATAGAATTGTCAAAAATAAAAATTAGGACTTAATCGCAGATTCCTTCCATCCCAAATAACAAGCTCAAAAAGTAAAATCAGCCAAAAGTTTTGGCAAAAGTAAACATTTATCAAAATAAATCTGATGTAGCTCACTTCTAGTTCGAAAATTTATCTCAGAAGGAAATTATTTCCTCAGTCCAGTCGATTAGATTGATACATATTCTCCCATCCAGTCAAGAATCTGTGGAAAAGCCTGACAGAATTGGAACCTGAAGTTTTTCTAGCAGGACAGAAGACCATTGAACCATAAACCGAATATGAAAAGCACACTATATTTGTTAGTAAGACATACAAATTCCATTAAATTTATATGATACATAATACTTTACCTATGAGACTAAATGTATACGGGACATCCAGGCCAACTTCAGGAGGAGTTGTAAACCAGAAAGTTCGCGTCGTATGTCCAATCCCAACTTCATAGTAATATTTGGTGTTATGCTGCCAACGAACTGATAATCAAATAAGCGTTAATCTTGATTGTAATTCCTTAATTCTGTCAAAAGTCATCCCTAACTCCCTACTAATCTCATATACACTAACTATGAATGAAATGTAACAAAAAAAGAAGCAGCAGCATATAAGCAGAAAAGGAACAGGGGGAATTAAAATAAAGCAATGCCTATGAAACAAGGACACAAAACGGTTGAATAGCTCACCTTCAAATTCTTAATGTTGCAGTGATGAATGTATCCAGAAGTATAAGTGCAGAATTTGTAGGTAACAAGAGTGCCTTTGGCCTTTTCCTTGTGATTACTATTTTCACTCCAGTACACAATTGTACTTGACCCAGGTTCATCCATAGTGACCCATGACACAATAACCCCTTTTCCCAGAAGATCTCCTTGGGTTATATGAACCTTACAGATAACCCACCAGTCAAAATACACACCAAAAAGGAAAAAAGAAAAGAAAAAGATAAAAGAATTTGAGAGCATCAAAAGTACACACACATTATTAATATACACAAGCACAAATGTATGAAAATTAACAAGACCCACCAGATGGACAAACATATATTTGTAACTAAATTAATAAATTGAACTTCATTGGTGAAAAAAGAGGAGTGGAAGCATACCTGTTGAGGCGCATTATAGCCAGGAGGCACTCTGAAGACATCACTGTCAAGGGGCGTATCATTAGTTTTCTCAACTTTCCTCACAAATGTGCTTGTTATTCCTCCATTACACAACACTGCTGCGTTCAACACCAAACCTAGAACAGCAAGAACAGACCCGGAAAATCCCAGCTCACCCATGTTATCCTGCGCACACTCGACCCCGCTTAACCTATGCACACCCTATCGCTTTCACCATCTCAATTTCCACACACACACACACATCTACATATACTCACATATCATTATACACAAACTATATTTTCCTAGAAATAAGGCGAATATTCAAAACTCTATACAAATATGCATGAGAAGTGTCAACGGGATTGAAGTATTGAACACTAACAGCTAGCAGGATTGGGTTTTTACATACTACGTTTTAGAATACCTGTGAAAAAAAAGAAGATATAATTAAAGTAAAAATTGACTTGAGAAGCCACCAAGTCAAGTCCAGACAGAAAGCGCGTTGTTTGACTTGAACAAAAAGAGAAAGAAGCAGATAAAATAAGAGCAGGGTAAGACAAGAAGGGCACTTTCATGATGAATTCCGGTAATCAATGGATGAGTGCACAAAGTCGCCTTGAGCACCCACGTCACAGACTTGCTCTTTCGTTGTTGACTAAGTTATTTTAATTATGTCCAGGGAATCATTTTACATTTAATTAACATAAAGGTGCTCAATAAATAATAGCCAAACAACTCAAGTTATGTCTAATATATATATATATACACACACACATTTTTTTTTGCCAACTCAGACACACACTTCGATCCTATGGGGGACTTGAACTCTCAACCTTGTACTTTAGAAGATGAGGAAGTACCACTAAATTACAACCCTTGGCGATAAGTTTTGTCTAATATCTGAGTTTCTTCTCTTTCTTTTTTCTTTTTTATTTAAAAGAGCTTAAACAAGTCCATGTTCCAAATCAACTTGACGGTAGAACTATATATATATTTTTTTGAGAGAGAAATCTATTAATTTAACTAAATCTTTAGGGTTGGGCTTGTTGACTTGGCTATGTACATGGTTAAAAACTTTTTTTTAGAAGAAACTACATAT